TGAGAAAGAGATACATTATTCCAATCCCCTCATAAAAGAATCCCAGAATGGGATGGAATAAAGATGAAATTTTAAAAGTCTCTCATGTTTACCTTATTATATAATAAGAAAAAAAGTAGAACTTTTGTGGGGATCTATTCAATTTCAATGACACTTCCTTTATTCGGACACCCCCGTCCCGATTGAAATAGACCGGACAAGTGAATCAAATATCTAAAACCTCTCACACTATGTTCATACATATACGTGTGTATGCACATCATATTCTTCCCCGTTCCAGTTGTGAAGGCAAAGGAAAAAACTTCAATACCTTCGTTTATTGATTTTATTTATTATAGTCTCAAAAGAAGTATTTTTTGAAAAAAAAAGATTTTCATCTTTCTTTTAAATTTACTTGCCTTCATTTTAGTACTTGATTACGATGCTGTCTTTCATTGTGATAATGTCTTATGCCTATAGAATGGAATTTTCGATATTTATTTCCTCATGCTGATAATGGTATTCATACTGGTCAGAGATTTTTTTTTATGAATTGAAGTCGCATTCTCCTTTTTTAAACTATTGTTGAATAGTGTCACAATGTTTTGTGAGTTTCATGATACATGCATTAATTATTTGGACGACCATAATGTTCTGAACATGAATTGATGAATTTATTTTTTTGAATTTTGGCAGAATTTTTATGTTTCATTCTGAAGCATTCAAAGTTAAATTACGTTAGTACACAAAAGATTGACCGAAAATTTCCTGACACTCAATTTTTAGAAACTTTGATATTTTGTTGGAAAAGGAAACAAAATATCTGTCTATTTCTAATATCAAAGATATCAAACTGCACATTTTTCGCCAACAAGGTTTGAAGTATGACCTTTAAGACGGGTGTATAAAGACAAATTGTATCAGACAATTGACTTAGCCTTTTTTTAATATTTATCTATATAATTTAAATTATATCATGTGCTACTATTTTATGTGCAACCTTTATGGCACTAAAATTCGCTAAATCATATTGATACTGGTATATGTAAGTAAAATATGTAAAATATAACATGCATGTCCATCGAATTGAAGATTAACATGTTCATTTGCTATACTTAAGGGTGTTTTAATAACAAAAAAGTCAATTTTAACAAAAACTTTCATAAATTTATTGAAATGGATCACAGAAGATAATTAAACCAACAGCTTTAGAAATTTTGGCAATTTAAAAAAGCATTGGCAACAAACCAGTAGATGACGTCACATTTTATCATTTCTTTAATGAAAGTTATTTAACGAGTTCGCAATTTTTTGTCACTCAATGATAAATTGTATTTGCTGACAAGGTCATTGTATCGACCATAGAACTTACGAAATGATGACTTTAAACGAGACTGCTGATATTCTTGTTTCGTCAACTTGCTTGTCAATAATTTACCTCGTTTTAGAAATTGTTCATACGTAGAGCATGTTCTTGCGTATCGAATAAACTGAGATATATATACTCCGTATGCAGGTGATGAAGGTATATTGCTGCATAAGTAAGGGAAGTTGACGATAGAAAAGTTAAAGTCATCATGTTTATCATATAGCTTAATTGTTAGGTTACCAATAGTGTGTTGAACAATTTCTAAAACGTGGATTCCTAATTGTGGCTGGTGTCTTGTTCCATGCTATGGTAGTTGCTGGTATGAACGAGTATTTGTAGACATCAACCCTGGTGCTGATTTGGCGGATGTTGTTTGCCTTAGAACCACGAGTTCTGCTGGTGGTGATATGTAGCACATGATGTACCGGAACGTCCACAATGTGATGGTAAATTTTGCAGAACATGGTCACGCGGTTCCGGGCCCATCCGATGTTCTGAAGGTTTCCAACTGAGTTAATGTAACATGGTGGTCACACTTCCGGAATCTCTTGATGAGTGGTCACTACTGGCAAACTTTGCTGCCCGGCGCTGAGCATTTTCTAGGAGTTGGATTAAATGATGTTAGTGAGGATCCCAAACCACTGATACTCCAGTACTGGACATACTAATGTAGTGTATTTCCTACTTCTGATATCCTGTGTGCAGTTTCTGTGCTTCATTCTTAGAAAACCAGTTGTTCTTTCTGTACAATACTTTCATAATACTATTCCTCCTACAGTTTTGTTCTGATTTTAATATAAAATAACTGTTGAAAAACATAAGGATTTTAAATTGTTTATTATGCTCTCCGAAATTTTTAATTCCTTCATTAAATTTACTATACAAATAAAACCTACTTGTGAATGATTATTTCAAATTAAGTTGAAAATACGTTTTAAATCACTATCGAGATAACACCTAGCATTGTAACAAACCTATTACTAATTTCCCAAGAAATTTAGCTTTTAATGTATTGACGAGGAAGCGTTGGATTTACCTTGTATATTAGTAGTGCAGGTAATCGCATGAATATTAGCGACAATTTCGTCTTCTTCTATATACACTTTTTGTTTAAAATAGCTATATTTCCATTAGGAATTTTGTACAAAAAAATATCAATGTTCTTTTTTTTCTTTTCAATTTAGTCTAGATATTCTAGTTTCTGCATGTATTTTTACGAGCCCTTCCTTTTAAAATCCATGACAAAAATGAACTTTATATAACTAAGTTATTTCACAATTGCATATTATAAATATGTCTGTTGATTTTCGCCGATTCGGCCAGATTCTGTGGAAGCTTGCTTATAACAATTGCATAGATGTTTGAATTATAGGTAGGTTTGTTTAATAAAAAAAGTCCGAGTATAAATTGAAATCTCTACAAAAAAGGAAAACACAAAACAACTTTATTTTATCCTATCTTAAACTAAAGAAATTTGTTTAAATGTTAGAAAACAGAGTGTGTATTTCATCCTTACATTTCTTTGAATAGTTTTGATACATCTAGAAAGCCGGCAATTTGGTTTTGGTATTGAAATCATTGTCAGCAACTTAAAAGTCATTTTAATATCTTTAAGAATAATTGTTTAAGCACTATTGAAAACAATATCTCAATCACTTTTGATAGTTCAATGACTTTTAAATTCTATATTTTTTCACGATTGAAAACTTTATTACAAAATTGAACATTATTTCAATTGTGTTGCAACCTATATTTTTTATTGAAATGTACTCTCAACCACTATTGAAATAATTATTTCAATTGTGGTATTTTTTCAATATTGGTTACAATCTATGTTTTTTTTTTTTATTGAAATGCACTCACTCTCAACCACTATTGAAATAATTATTTCAATAGTGGTCGTATTTTGAAAGTGGTTGCAACCTTTGTTTGTTACTGAAATATACTCTCAGCCACTATTAAAATAACTATTTCAATAGTGGTCGTTATTTCAATATTGCATGCAATAGAGCAGTATCATAAGACAAACTTATTTTTTTAATATTTAAGCGTAACACATCCTTCTTTTTGGACAATGTCAGACACCATTGAAATTTCCGCCCGACCCCCATTTTTCGGTCTTCTTGTCCTCTGCTGATCATTCAATGACACATGACTTGCTAAATATCGCTTAAACCATCTTTAAGCAAGTCTCTTATTTACACCATATCCTCTGTGTATCTGACTTATAATCGAAACTCTCTCTACGCGCGATTTCCCCATTTTGAAAAAAAATTTACAGCTCGTTTTAGCTTTTTTTTTCTTTTGTTTTTTGTTTTTATTTTGACATATCCTTTTTTCAATAGAGAATATTAAAACAACAATGATTATTCTGTTTACAACTCAAGACTAGAAAATATCGTGTTTTTTTTTTTCTTAAAAGTATTGTGCTATTAGACAATGTTTTTGTCCTTTTTTTTCATTTTAACAAAATGCATTTTAAAACGTGATGTTTAATTGTGACGCGGCGACACCCATCATGTTTAATATGTTAAACGTGTATAAAATTAATTTCATTTTTTGTAAGGTTAACCTGGTATTTTTATGCATCATTTGGTACTTTCTTTTTGATAATATAACACCAAATATTCAAGCAACAAGCAAACATGAATTCAAGCCAGCATAATTAAGTAATTTAAAAGCAACAGAATACATGCTAATTTTTTCAATAATTAATTTATAATATATGTTAAAAAGCAACAAAAAAAGGAAAGTCCTATTTTGGGGTGGGGGAGGTAGTGTGTGACGGGGTTCCTCCCCGTCACTGGCACTGGTTAATAATGACGATTGTTTTTATTTACATCGTTTATTTACATATTGACAACACAATATATATTTATAAGAAAGCACAATGTTCACAATAAAAAGACACGTCCACACTCATGGACTTTCATACTTGTTCTCCTCTCTCTCTCACTCATGTACCCAGGGCCCACTTTCTCACACAAATCAATCTAGTGCTCACTTTCATCTCTCAGAACTCTATCACGCACAATAAACAACGATAACAGAAATGACAAATAAACAAATTATAAATCCATGCTTGTCCACTCGCTTTCTCTCTAACTAACTAAAATTACACTCTTGGGAAACAGGGCTACAACGCCTGCGCCGCGCACCTGCAACCTATTAGACATTCTAACTCTCTCATTTACAATTAATTAACAAAAATCGGGCGATTGCTCTGTGACATACCTCCCCTCTTAAGTGTGGCGTCCCGACACACTAATATAATTACATTTAGTAGACTGATAATACAATTTGATATCATTAACATAATTAGCTGTCTATACAGGAATCACACATATATAGATAAAGAGACCTTACTGTACACAGAAATAATAACACAGTTTAACATGCACACAAATTTTATGTTTTACCTTTTTTCTTAGATTTTTGCTTTTTATCTTTACATTTTTTTAAACAAGTGTTCATTTTAGAATTTGATAAACATTATATACACAACCTCCGTATATACACTTCAAGTAGTTATTTCTTTGACTGAATAAAAACTTCTCATAATTACATATGCATCTTGCGCACTCTCACTAACTTCTTTGCATCAGGACTAAATGATTTACACTCACCATTTATAGACAAAGAATTATTTGTATCACGCAGTACAGTTAAGGCAACACATGAAAAAAATATGGTAATGAGGTCATAATGAGGTCTGACGTCATGACAGTTGCTCCGCCCTGATTGATCCATATAAGGAAATAGAGCTCAAAATAAGTATTTACCGATGTTTGCAAGAATCTGTAATAAACGACAATATTTTCATGTTTAAATAGAAAATAATTAGTGATTTTCTCGTATATTAAACAGCATGTCTTTAAAATAATTCTCTTTTTTATGTGTCGTTTGGCTGCATTCGGCTTCAGCCAAGCGCTTGCACTCGATGACACGGAATGTTGTTTACATCTTAAAACGTGGCGACATCAGCTGAGATTTGCAGTGGTTTTACATGCATTAACCAGACAATCTTTAAAGAAAATAGGGATAAAATAAGAGACAAGGCATTGTTTACCCCTTTTACGAGAATATGAGGACAAAATTGCGGAAAATAATGGAAAACTGAGACGGTCTGCACCAGCTCCGTAGATCCATCACTGTAATTTCAGGCCAGGTATGTATGTGCATGTAGGTACATGTGTAGATCTTCAATATGTAGATATGCTTTTGTTCACATCAAAGAAAAAAAACCCGAGTGTGTGCATCTACATTTAGATGTATTATCACAGTCAGTGAAAACTAATGCAGTGCCTTGTGTGTAACCCCCCCCCCCCCCACATCCTCCTACTAAGTTGCACACTTTTTAGAATTATTAAATTTAATTTCATTAAATATATACTGAGTTCTTAAGCTTGTCAATTAGCTCAATTTCTTTGAGACTATAATTATATGTAGTAATGGAAGTAATCAGTAACACAGATTTAAACTAAGGTAAATTAAATGAGATATTTTTATTGTTTCATTCAATGATTCACTAGGCCTAAACAAGTAATGATGTTGTCTTTTAACATACAAATATGCTACATAGTATAAAAAATTCTATCAGTATCATTATGTTGAAAACATAGAACCTCCGCTTCTTATCTATGGTTGCAATTTCCTAGAATTTCTAAATTAATGAAAAAAGTATTCATTTTTTGTTTAGATTACATGTACATTAAAAATATTTACATATATAATACTTTTATCATTGTAGCTGTCAAGAGTTTTCAGGCTTAAAGAATGAATAAATAAAAAATGCATCAATTTCTCCATAGGGTATGTATACTTCAAGAGCATTTCACATTTTTTTTAAGTATCCATGTGCTATGTAATTTGGTTTTTCATTTTGGTAAAGGTGAAACTCAGAAATGATTTTTAAAAATATTCTGTCAATAATGTCAGAGGTGTCACATGCCCATAAAAGTTTTGTAACACAACTTTTTTCCATTTATATGAATAAAATAAATTCAGTACAGTATACAATGTAGCATGTTTAATTTTGGTTTTTTTTCAAAATGTAATGCCATTTTATTCTACAATGTATGTTTAGTAATCCCATAGCATATAACTGCATGTATATTGTGTTGTAGGCCTAGTCATTCCCCCAAAAATTGGAACAATGGATTCATTCAAGCAGCAAGTTTAAGGAAAATGGTATGCTAAATATTAGCTATAAATCATAAAGTATTCCTGTTAAGATTATTGAAAACTGTTTTAATAATAAAACTTACAGTAGAATTGCAAACATATATATACATATGGATTCTATGTTAATTGATTCAATGCATTTTTATTTCACTTTTTTAAACACAAATTACTTTCAATAATGGTATTTCCTGATTTTCTCATATTTTCAGAATCCATTTTGTCCACATGAACATGAAGTGATGGAAATAATTTGCACCTGCCCAGTTTTCCTACAGTCTGTCTTTGGATTTGGAAAAAAATGTTTATTAAAAAAATTTTCTAGATAAATAATAATTTGACTTTTTCATATATTTACAGTACAGGTGTTGAAAATGCTATTAAGATTTGAAAATCTTAACTTACATACATATTTTGTGTGGAGGGTATCAATGTCCCTCAGGATCATATTTCCAGCATGTACATTGTGTTCATTTGTTTTTCAATTATAGCACCAAAAACAGGAGACTAAGGATCCCCCTTATTGATTCAAAACAGGATAGGGGACCACCATTCGATTCTGAGGGAAGGGGGGGGGGGGGCTGGCAAGTTTTTTCAAGTCAGATTTTTCATGTCAATGAAGGACAGATTAATGCTGATTTCCGATCAATAAGATGAAAGACAGATTATTTATTTTCATCTTCATTGAAAAGTCTAACGAGCAAAAAAAAAAAAAAAAAAAAAAAAAAAAAAAAACTCTGATTCGTGGGAGTGGGAGATCACTGGTCTGCGCCAGATTATTTATTTCTTCTCAAATCGTAGACAGATTATTTATTTTCAAGGACAAATTATTTACTTCTAAGATCTGCCAGCCCCCCCCCCCCGCCCTCAGAATAAAATGGTCGCCCCCGTAACAAATACAGGAGTAAACCCCCCATCCATTCCAATAAGTTCCTGAGACTTATACTTTGGTTTAAATCATCTAAACAGTAGGAGGTCTGATTGAAAGCCATCGTAGAATCTTGTATGCGGAAATAAAACTTTTATTAACACAAGTGTATCTACCATAGGCGTCGGAAACAAATTTAAAGTGGGGGGGGGGGGGGCTAAAACAACAAATAAAGGTAAATTCCAATTTTAAATGCCTATATTATGTATACAATTTACAAAATAAAAAGTGGGGAGGCTAAGCCCCCCCCCCCCCCCGGTTCCGACGCCTACGCATACAGTAGTAAGACTAAGAGAGGGGTATAGATATCTAATTAATTATTGATGTAGACTATATTTTTTATAACCATTTGTGTTTTCCATAAATAATTCGGCAATATTTTTTATTTAGACCTATTTGTGTGTAATCCTATACCCACTTCTTTGAGGAAATGCGGGAGGTTTGAAAGACGTCTTTTACCATACATTAAATGTATACAATGCATAGAGAATGAATACACAAAATACAAAGAAATGTCAAGGATTTTTACGCATACCGTTTTGATTAAGTAAAAATAGAGTCCAACCCAGTCCGCATGTGTATATCTATTTAAAATTTACTATGTAAACAAACTCTTCCAAGATTTCAATTTTTAATCAAAAAGTGCAAGGGCAAGGCGACGATCTAAAAAATAGGTTTTTATTTTAAATTATTTATTTTATTGTATAGTTTTCAAAAAGTGATGCTCATTTCTTTGCAATCCTTTAGTGAATTTATAATTCCCGTTGAAATTAAGAAAATACCCTATTTTTCATACACTACTGTCTGTTTTAGCTGAATAACTTAAATATATCGGAAAACTAACTGAATGAGCATCACTTTTGAGAAAGTATAGATACATAGGGACAACCTAAAACATTGTGCAGTTAATTTTTTGTTTGTCTTCCCCTTGCACTTTTCGGTTAAATTTGACATTTCATTTTTTGACCTAAAATCGGAGCCCACGTGACCCCAGAGAGTCACATGATGTCAAAAAATACCGATGTGAACAGCGATGGACATACTCGTCAAGAAAACATAAAGCTATTTAAACTAGATTGTCTTGCTAAAAAATAAAACTGTTAAACATTAAATATATCGGATTCAGTGAGTTTTTATAGAAAATGTTGCCTTAACTGTACTGCGCATCAATATATCATGAAAAGTTTTTCAAAATATCAAAGTTAAAAAAAACAACTATACTGGAAATCCCGGTCAATAAAAGCATTACACACAACATCGGATTTTTTCCACAAATTCTTATTGTAAAAGCGCATTTTTCCAATTATGTCGACACGGTCGCCCGTTGCCATACACAAATTCCGTTTTTTTTCCTCACCAATTCTTATTCTAAAGTCGAGTTTTCCCAATTATGTCGACATGGTCGCCCGTTGCCATCAAAAAAGGTCACTCCCTAGGCCGTTTTCGTTACGTCTTCACGCACGAATTCATCACTGAAAATCATCTCACTGGATCCATTATCAATCAACTTGAAGACCATTTGACTCTTTACACGTCCTCCAATTTTGGCGAAACAAAATTGCGGATTTGAATGACAATCACCTCCTCCAGTTTTGGCGACACAAAACTTGAGGGTAAATTTTCGACACATTTTTCACAGACCGACGAAACTTCATTGTCCGTCTTCTTTCATCGGCTGTCCTCAGGAGTACTGGATGAGAACTTTAGTTTTCGGAATCGGCATCTTTCTCATCGTTACACTGGAGTGCAAGGTGTCCTACATTCCGACAGTTGTTACAGATCGGTCTCCCGGCGATGATCCTGGGATTTCGGTCCGGTCTTTGGCGGAATCCATGCCTCGTCCTCGAAGGTTTGGCGGAATGTATTGTTGCTCATAGGTGAGTCTTTCGATCTCGGTAGCCATCACCGACACCTGTGTGTTTGCTGTGTGTTCTGCAAAGGACTTTTCCAGCTTCTCAGTTCCCATAGAGCCGCACGACGTACATCTAGCTGTCACTGTTCCCCTGACCATCGGGGCATCCACCAGGAAGTTGTTACATGCACTCTTCCCTCTTGCATGCCTGAAATGTTTTAAGATTGGGAAATAAAACATACTTCTTGATTCCAGGTTTTAATACTTGAAAGAAATGCTCCTTAGTGAGAGTTTCTTTTTGCAATTCAGACATGCCCATGACTCCGTGTACACACGTGTAGCGATCTTCGTTATATTTGCAGCATAATCCACTACAGTTTGTGTCTCCTGTGTTTTCGAGTCATTTTCTGCACAAATTTTGAACAAGAGTTAATTTCCCAAAGTACATGTATCCGTTGACATGGTTAAGTTAATCCAATCCGACTGCTGGCCACCATAATATGTGACGGGGTTCCTCCCCGTCACTGGCACTGGTTAATAATGACGATTGTTTTTATTTACATCGTTTATTTACATATTTACAACACAATATATATTTATAAGAAAGCACAATGTTCACAATACAAAGATACGTCCACACTCATGGACTTTCAGACTTGTTCTCCTCTCTCTCTCACTCATGTTCCCAGGGCCCACTTTCTCACACAAATCAATCTAGTGCTCACTTTCATCTCTCAGAACTCTATCACGCACAATAAACAACGATAACAGAAATGACAAATAAACAAATTATAAATCCATGCTTGCCCACTCGCTTTCTCTCTAACTAACTAAAATTACACTCTTGGGAAACAGGGCTACAACGCCTGCGCCGCGCACCTGCAACCTATCACTCTGTCATTTACAATTAATTAACAAAAATCGGGCGATTGCTCTGTGACAAGTGTTTAACAGAATTCATAATTTTTTTTAACAAGCTCTATTTCGTGGGGGAGGGGGAGGGGGATTAATAAAGATTTCTGACATCTTTACACTTCTAATATTTTATACTGATTACTTTACAAACGAACTCAAATCAGGAAATCAGGTCCGCGTTCTCCCGGGGGCCTCCTTTTTTTTTTGGGGGGGGGGGGTTCATGGGTCACTTTTTACTTGGTTTTGTGTATCACTTTAATATCTCTGCAAATTCCAGAGGGTCCGGACCCCCGATCCCCAGCACTATAGATCCGCGCATGCATTAAAATTTTTAATATGATTAAATCAATATTCTATTCACTGATGTTTTTGTGAATAGAATTGGGTAGCAGGCGCAGCCTATTTTAGCCCTCTCCCTACATTTAGGTTAAGGTACTAAACAAATAATGATAATAAGAGAATGTACAAGAAAAAAGAGGGGAAAACAACAAAAATCAACAAAGTAACATAGAAAAAATACAGAAAAAAAGTTGAATAAAGAAAAATTATACAAAAGAGAAAAAAAGAATGAAAAAAATTACAAAAAAGGTAAATAACAGGGGGAAAGGGCAAAATACAAAGTAGTACCGGTTTAGGAGTATTTCTAACAGATAAAAATTACATCTATATATATATATGTATATGACAGTGTTTGGTATAATACGTTTTGTTCATACAAGTTGAAGTTGCTATATACACATGATAAATGTATGTACAAGTTCAAATATTTGTATACTGAGCAAAATAAGTTTAGCAATTAAAGATATTTAGTATATCAAGTAGAAAAAAGTAGACCCATAATTTATAATGTAACTGAAATGTTAAATTTTCTTCGTATAACACAGAAAAGGCAATGTTTTCGTTGAATCCAAGACGATTTGTGTTTGTCCCTGCGATGCGTGATTGTTGATGACCTTGAAGTAAGTGATAGTGCTTCGAGAGGTCTTTGAGCTCGAACAATGGCTGAACGTAGCCTATTTCCTACAAATTGCCCGCATAACCTCACTCTAGTTACACGGCATATCTCTTCTGCAACTTAAGGAGCAGCCATAAAACTGTAACGTCTCGACGTTGTAACAGTTAAACGATCATTGCTAACCGTCGCTTTTCGTGGACGTCCTAAGCGCTGGCGATTGATTACGTGTTCAGTCGTTCGGAATCAGTTCGAAAGTCGATATTTTGTGGACTGATGCAAGCAATAGTGTTCAGTGACATCGTTTTGTGAGTAACCAATTGTAAGCATCCCTATAGTCCTTTAACGTTATTTTCGGAAAGTCCTGGTTTTTTTGCCATTAGACGTTTTTGCAATTTTTCACCGGTTTTCTTTTACAAGCATGCTCAGAATGTTTTTCTAGTGAAAAATTGTTCCCGGATCATCTGCGTTCGAGCGTAGCCTTTTGTTTTATTGAATTGTCACAGCGTTGGATAAAGCGGTTTCTGCGTGTCAAATTTAAAAAAAAAACTCTGTCATTTGTTATCTTTATCTCTATTGATCTTAAGAAGAAGCATAATAAAACAATAAAGAAAAATATTTTTGAATCATTCATAGGGAAAAGCAATTGCTAAACTTATTTTGTTCAGTACATATTAATGTCAAGTCCA